TTCTCTGCGGTCCTGCCAGACTCTCATCATACTGCTTCCCTGGTGGCTCCCACAGGATTGTTGACATCCTCGTGGATTAATCATCTTATTATAGACACATGCATTTCCAAACATTTGGACTACCTATGTTGTAAATGTATTATCTCTTCGATTTACACACGGCATCTATTGCACGTCTGTCCGTCCTGGGAGAGGGATCCCTCCTCTGTTGCTCTCCCTGAGGTTTCTCCCATGTTCCCCTTTAAACTGTGGGTTTTCTCTGGAAGTTTTTCCTTGTACGATGTGAGGGTCAAAGGAAAGAGGGTGTCGTGTTGTCATACTGATATTCTGAACAAACTGTGAAGACCACTGAGACAAATGTAACATTTGTGATATTGGGCTATATAAATAAACATTGATTGATTGATAGTACTCCATCTTTTTGTGAAATGCAGAGATACATCTGACACTTGAGGCACTTGATGTATGTGTTCCCACTGCATCCGTCTGCCATGAACCCTACAGAAACCTACGTGTTAGTTTTGTGTTGTGTAAAATGGGGGAAATAAAAAGTGAGCAAATCCCCGTGTCCTCCTCAGAGGACATTCATAACAACATTTAGTTTTAGGTCAAATCATTATTACATTGCTCTGAAACTCACTACACTAACTCCTAAGATGTTCCCTTACTATCATTAATTAAAATATTGACCTCACAACACTAGGTAATTACAACATTACAAACTTACCATTTCTCTTTCTATAAATAGTGCTTGTGTTGATGGACGCCATTTTGAAATACAATGAGATTATCTTTTTCAAAGCCACACCCCCACATATGTGATATGTTTGAAAAGCCCAGGATGTCCTCTGTGGAGTACACTTGGACTGTATGAATATACTGTATAGCTGCTCCACAGAACTAAAACAACGGAGGTATTTTATGTCAACAATCAAACTAATGGCACAGGTATTTGTGTGGCACACTCCTTAGTTGCCATCGTTGAAAGATACAACTAATTACAGCAATGTTTCCTTGAATTAAAACATGGTGCAGTCCTGGCACAACATGTCATCTCTGAGAAAAGAAGCACTAACACCAGAGGTAAGACACAAACAAAACAATACAGTTTGTCTCAAGTCCACCTGAAGCATCTCTGAGTGGTGTTCAGTCATGAAGAGCAGCAGCATGCAGGAAGAGAGACTCACGTGAGGACATAGTTGACGCTGACGATGCAGTGAGGGCGGGACGAGCGGCTGTTGTGAACGATGGTTGCATAACTCTGAACCCAGACCCAGCCTCCAGGCTTGGCCAGGAAACGGTAGTACTTAGTGGTGACCTGACCTTTCACCAGCACTGCAACGCCAAAAGAAACACAAGACACCAAATTATTACTGGGGGGGGGCGGTCATGTAAAATGACATAAACATTTTGAAATACAGCAAAAGGAAATGAGACAGATTAGAACACTATGCTAAGTTTGTTTCATTTGATCTATGGCATCGTGAATAGCTATAAATGAGCTGTTTTATATGAACGTATGGAGGTTCTATTGCCTAATCATTAAAAAAGAACAGCTGCCGGTCCAGCCTGACACCCACGTTATTGTTTTTTTTAAGTTGTTGACATTTACCTGGATCGATCTTTGTTATTTACTTTTATCATTTGGATTGTAGTAAATGTATTATATTGTTTAATGTGTACAAAAGACACATATCAGTCAGTCCGTCCTGGGAGATGGATCCCTCCTCTGTTTTTATATTCAAGGTTTTTTCCATTTCTCCCGTTAATTGTGAAGATTCTTTGTCAGTTCTTCCTTCTTGTTAGGGTCTAAGGACAGAAGCTAACGTGTAACGTGTGTGTGTGTCGATAGAGGTTTTGTAGGAAGGTAAAACAAACCTAACTCACACAAGTGATGAGCACATCTCAGGTGGAAGGAGTCACAGCTGTGCACATGATGGTAGAGGGTCTTCTCTATTAGATCCTGAGGCTCGTAGCCTGTCAGCTCTGCAACCCTGAGCCACACACACACACACACACACACACACACACACACACACACACACACACACACACACACACACACACACACACACACACACACACACACACACACACACACACACACACACACACACACACACACACACACACACACATTAACATGAATCCTTCCCACATTTACAAGTACACACTTTCACATACAAACAAACAAGCGTAAGAAGTCCTACCCAGACAAACTGTGTGTAACCACTGCAGGCGGACACACCAGCGTGTCATGCAGGACGTACCGTGAGTCGAGGAAGATGAGCTTCATGTCCAGGCTGGCTCTGAACATGAACATGTTGGAGTGCAGTTTGATCTCAGTGACAGCGCTGGGGGGGAGCGAGTGACCCACAGCCACCAGCCCCACGTTCTGATAGCAGCCGTCAAACGGAGACATGTCCAGGCTGTACTGACGGATCTTCAGGTAGCCGCTGCAGTGGATCACCTGAACAGTTCCCAGGTGGAGACAGAATGGATAAATATAAACACATACATGTTTAGGCTGCCTTTAGATCCTATTCAGAAACACAGCAGCAGTATGCCTGACATTGTGACTTCTTCTTGGTCGTGTTGCCCAGGCCAGTCTGGGGAATCCTGACAATGACAATTCACCTGTACTCTACCTGTGCAATAGTAGGGTTTCAGAGGAAAAAGGTCAGCAATTATACTGAGTTTGACTTTATTCTCAATATTCTGACTTCATTTTTGAAATGCTTATTAAAATAGAAATCTTCTTTCCCACTTATTCCTGCCTCACATACTAGGTTTTTTGGAAAAACAACTAAATGTGCTAAGCAAACTAATCTGCCAAGGCACTGTCTTAGCGGACAATTAGTTCACCATGTAACCTGAGATTGACTAAAAAATGCACAAATAAGACGGATCTTCACAAGGATTGAACAACCATCGGCCTTTAACACTGGTGTGAAAGGATCAAAGGATATCAGGCCACTGCTGTCTGCAGAACCAGGATCATCTCTATTTCCTAAAGTGTCCATAATGCCAACCTTGTCCATTCAACACTTTTATCCGAAGCAGACACATATGGATATTATGCTTCCTACTTTTTAGAGACATTTTAGATTGTTGCTATAAAATGTACTGAATGCAATGATGCTCTCCAGTTTTTATTCTAAACACCACTAACCCTACCTTCAGGTCAAAATGTGAACATTGCACGGAAACGAGCACGTCATATAGTAAAAACAGCAAAAGTATATTGATGTTCATTCTATTGACAACTGCATACATGTCATGGTGTCACAAGCATTTCAGCCATTGGTTGCCAATAGCAGAGCTGCCCAATTTGACATCTAGTAAAAAAATCACAAGATTTCTATTCAGAGGACCAACTTTCAACAAAACACATTTATTATGAGGTTTATAAGTTACACTTTTTGGAATGTTAATTTGACTTATTTGTGTTGATAGATATGACTTAACATTGACCAGAACATGTTTTTAGCCCTCCTATTGTCTTCATTCCCCCCCACCCTTACTTTGGTGTTCGCGGTCAAATTTCACCGGTCCTGTTTTAACTGCTATTACATTAACACAAAAACCATTCATCGTCACCAAATTTCATTTAACACCCTTTCAAACTGTAAATATTGTATCAGACTATTGGTTACATGAAGAACTGTAGTAAATATACAAAGATTAGACACTGAACATGTATTGCGTGTGCCAGGTGTGATCCATGTGGGGGGATGGGCACATAAGAGCGGGAAATGTGTCACATTGTTCTGTGTGTGTGTGTGTGTGTGTGTGTGTGTGTGTGTGTGTGTGTGTGTGTGTGTGTGTGTGTGTGTGTGTGTGTGTGTGTGTGTGTGTGTGTGTGTGTTTTATCCAATCCGGATGGTTACTAATTCCTTTTCTTTATGGCAGTCCGGGAACACCATGGTTGTTACAAAGTTGACTAAATCATCCAAAATTCTG